ACTAGGTCAGATGAAGGTACAGTTTTAGAAGGTCTTAGCTATATGCTGCTAGCATCAGCAGATAGTCTGAACATATAACCAGACTATTCATCTCTGATGATGGGATGTGAAAAGAAGGGGTTGGTGATATTTTCTTAGTGATACCAGTCCTCTCATTGAAGGACTAATGAATCTTCATTAAACAGTTGTTAAAAAATGAGGATGAGAACACTTCAAGTCACAGCAATACTCAATGTGAGATGGCAGACATGAATAACAATGTGTCTGGGCAGACATGGAGAGATATTGACCAGTGCATTTGTTCAATTTCAAGGCAGAAACATTGTAAAGCTTATTTATTAATATTTACAGAAAATGATATGAAATCAAGAAGCATCAATTCATCACTCAATATCAAATAGTTAAGAGACAAAGAATAATTGAGAGCAGTATCTCCTAATACAGGAGCTAAAATAACAGAATTAGTCTCTACAGAACCTGCTAATGGGCTAGTCAGATGAATAATAAACCTGCTTTCATATTGGATGTTGTTTTTAAAGCTTTTAACTATTAAGTCTTGAATTAGGAAGTAGAGTGCATTCAAATGATGGATTTTAGTGTTTTTTCCTTTTGATAGTTATGTTTCTGAATAACTGTGGTATCTGAATTGTTTTGCATGTAATAGACAAAAAAAAAAAGAAGGAAGGAAGGAAAGACATAAAGGGCAGCCAGTCTACCCAAACCACAGTTGCTCCCCACCTCCCAAAGGGTGTCCGAGCAGGGTATCTCATAACATCTTCCCAAATTTTACTTTTTGGAGAGAAATTCAACAATCCAGAATGTCCACTTATAATACTAGAGATATAAGAATGTATCCATAAAAGTGCCCACTCATCTTTTTCAACTTCCTTTTTATTTATCCTTTATGTCTTTCACATCATGTTCCATATCTCACCTATCCCCCCCCCCAAAAAATAAAATTTAAGAAAGGAAGGAAGGAAGAAGAGGTTGAGCCAAATATGAGAGGGGAGAGGGTTCTGGCTGGCTTTGAACTTTTGATACTTGTTCTGGTGATTTGGTCCCTGTGTATTTCATGTCCTTTGTCCTCGAGAAGGTGAGCATAGGGAATCTCCTTTTCTGTCTGGTTCCCCTGGTGCATTAGGTAGGAACATCCTCTACACTTAGGTCAGACACACTTGCTGTGTTTGTTTGAGTCTGTCTTGGTCTGTTTTAAACTTTGTTCTTGTCTATGTCTCCTGCCATTAAGAGAATGGGGGAAATTACCATGCCATTGAAAGGAGCCTCAGGTGAAGGCATTAAAATCAATATTGGTCACCAGGTACCTTAAGGCTAAGACTTCAGATCTGGAGTATTTGGGGGATGAGGCCATGGTGCTGGCCTCCTGGATTTTTCCCGAAAACATGTGGGAGCCTGACCTCTGGATTCATGTGCTCTTTCTTGCCTGGAAGTGTGAGGTCGGCTCAGGAGTCACCCCCTTTTTCCTATGCTTTGATTGGAGTATTGCCTTATTACTGATCATTCTCTTTAAGCGTTTCCTACAGTGTGTTTCCTGGTTCTCCTGGCATTTTGAAATCCAGAATGTGGCACTCTTTGGGAGATCTCTTGGGCCTAGCTCACAGAAACTCCCGAGGCATCAGTTTAACAGGCATTTCTTCCACCTGGGCATGCTTCCCAGAACAAGTCACCAAAGAGGGGATGCTAAAATGCACTGCGAGAATGAAGAGGAGTCCGAAAGGGTACAGATAGAAAAAGTGAATGTGTACTGATATAGGATTCGAAGACACACCACCAGCAACAAAAGGGAAAGATCAGGGTCCAAACAAACAAACAAACAAAAAACAGCCTCGGCGATGGAACAGGATCCACAAGTTCCACGTTTAGGTGCCAAATATTTCAGGTTACCCTACTTGGATACCTCTTGGAGGAGGGGTGAGAAGATTAAGCCCCAAGGACTTAAGCACAGGGAGTCAGTGAGTGTGCTACAGACTCCTTTGTTAAAGAAGTTGGGCCTGCCTTTTTACTCCCTCCCAAGGTCCTGTTGTTCAGGCCTATCTTTTCCTCATTGGTATCTCTGGGTCAGGTGTCTCTCTGTCAGCAGTCTCTGGGCCTTGAGACAGGTTTGATGGCTTCGTTCAGACTTGCATGCTGAACATCGCATGCACATGCGCATGTGGGCTAACCTGGGGACCAGGGACTGGGCGACTGTGGCTTGGGCAGGCTGGCTACAGTTTCTCCTAGAGGCAAATCTTTGCTAAACATTTAACTATATGGGATGGAGTAAAATGATGAGAAATCTGCTATAAAATGGGCCTATATAGGTTAGGTTTCTCCTCAGGGCTGAATGTGAACTTGAGGTTGACTCAGACACATGGTATCCGCTATGCACTTTGGCTCTGTGAACACAAATGGTTTGGGACAGCAACATTCTCTCATTGGCTCAGCCTCCATTGTTCTCTGCACTTAGGCAGAGCTCACAGTTGATGCCGATGGCTATCTGTGTCCGGGACATTTTAACCTACATAGAATTAGACAATTCACAATATTTTCTTGACCGTGATTTTTGTTTTTAATTTCAAGTAATTGTTTGGTGGCCATCAGCACTTGTCCCCACCCCCACCACACATACGCTTTCAAGGCTATATTTGGTTAGCTACCAAATTTAAATTTTATCAATCTCATATCACTTTTACTTCTTTTAACAATTCTGTAAGTAGGATATGGAGATACATACCTATAATCCTAGCATTGGGAAGAGGGAAGCAGGAGGACATCCTCAGCTACATTGTCAGCCTGGGCTATGTGAGACCCATGCCTCAAATAAAAAAGAAATTTTAAAGCATTTCATGCTCTCATTCAAACAATCAGCAACACGTATGGCAATTAAACTAAACGTTTTTCACTGCCACCCCCAAAGCTCCAAGGGCCTTTTCCAGGTTTGCTTTCTTCCTTTTCACCCAAAGTACTCTTGACTCAACAGATGGTATTGACCAAAAAGCCACCATCCACAGTGGGGTGAACTCAGCCTTCTTACTTTATGCACAGAGTTCAATTTGGGTGAATATGGGGCCAGAAAGCTCTGTTCAGCTGTGTCTGCAAAGCAAATATGACCTGTAAGCCAATGAACACTGAAATGGGACTCTAGCTTCTTCGTCCATTTGTAGATTCCATAAAGACAATGGGGACAAAGTAGCTGGATGTATTTTGTCACAGTTTTCTCAGTTGGAGAGCAGAGCTCATGGTTCTCTATCTTCCTGTTTTAAGATTTGTCTACCATATGAACTTGTGTATATCTTATAGCTTACTAATAAGAGGTACATGTTCCCACCCCTACCGCACATATGCTTTTCAGCAAGATGGAGACCCACACAAGTGTGTAAGTGGTAAAAAGCACACAGCTGTCAAAGCATATGCTTTCTTCTGTGGTGCTTATCATAATAGCTGCCTATCATGTTATGTTGTATCCAATTGAATAGAGCATAACCGAACCAGAGAGAGACTTCTAGAACATAAAGATGCTCAAATCAAAAGTACTACATAGCTGAAACAGTCCTCTAGAATGTCAATAATTCTAAGAATTTCCTTGTGACAGTAAGCAAGATTCCTAGGTTTTGTTTCCTGTGAGTTAGTTCAGCTGCATCCTGTGCTGTTGGAGTTTGCTTGAAGTTACTTCTTTCACTGTATCTACTACTACAAAATCTGTCATTACATTCAAATTGTCCTTGGTTTATGTGTTTTGTTGCTTCCAGATAACAAACGGTTAAATCAATGTTTGGCTCTAAGATACATCACACAGTACCTTTGAAAAACAGGTCACTATAGTCTTACAACTAAAAATCAAAACGCAATCATCATGATTTATTATTTATTTTGGAGAATCTAAATCTTATTTGAGATTCTACAAATAACATAAGTCAGTATGGTTATTTTCACTGCACTGTGTGAACTTCATTTGCTGATGGTATAGTCTTGGGAGAAACATTACTTTCCTCTAGCTTCTTAGGTTTCTCTAGAATTTCCACTCCCACCCACAAGAATAGTGACTGAACCTGGGATTTCATACAGGCTAGGCAATCATGCTTCCTAGTGAACTATATCCCCAGCCATCTTTTTTAAATCCTCGTGTGGGTCACGACCCCTTTGGGATCAGACTATCCTTTCACAGGGGTTGCCTAAGATCATCTGAAAGCACAAATATTTATATTATGATTAACAGAGCAAAATACAGTTATGAAGTAGCAAGGAAAATCAATTTTGTGTTTGGCTGTCACCACAATATGAAGAACTGTATTAAAGGGCCTCAGCATTAAGAAGGCTGAAAACCAGCGATTTAGATAAAGACTCACTAAACTGCCCAGGGTGGCCTTGGGCTCACTCTGTAGCCTAGGCAGGCCTTTTATTTCCAATTTTCTGCCTTAGCCTCCTGGGCTTTCAGGACTGTGTCACCAGTTTGTCTTTTCTGTTCTGCTTTCTGTATTTTAATTTCTAATATTTCCCATTGAAGCATGTTTGAGATAAAGCAGAATTATAAGCCAATTATGGATGCATGGAAAAATATCTTGCACTGGTGGATAAACATGTCCTATTTCCCTGTCAGACATACCTTTCATTCTTCCATAAACATTTATATACTACCACCTTATACATGTCTACAGACATAATACTTATATTTAAGGCCTAAGAGATCAAAGTTCTTCTGAGGCTAGGTATAATCTCAATTTTAAAAAATCCCTGAAAGGGTTAGACAAGAAACTGGAGAATGGCCATGGGGCATATTGAGAACAGGTTTGTCATTGTGTATTGGCTGTTTGTCCTGCATCAACAGTGATCAGACAGCCTTTCTTTAAATATGTATTTTTATATTAATAGAATGGACAGTTTATTGATCTATTAAACTCAAAGGAAGGACCTGTGTAAAATGCTTAATCTAAGAAAATGTGCATCTTCTTATGAGATAAGATGCATAGGTTTCCCCAAAAGTTTACGGATTACAGTTTTCCCACTTGACATTTAAGTATCTTTCTATGTATTGTTTATTTCACTTCCATTGTGTAATTGTCTTCAAGCACCATTCATATCTAAAGAAAGTTCCACCCAACATCAAATCTAGACATGATATCCTTAATTGCAATGGTATAATTTAATACAATATCATTACATTTAAATACATACATATATACTTGTAAATCTACTTATTTTGAGTACAACTTTATATAATATTTTAACAGATAAAAATATAGGTTTTTGAACCATTATATGTATTTGTCTATGCAGTAGCAAACATACATTATGGCGAACTAATAATGAATTACATATGATACTAGATTAAATTTTGTAGAAGGATTAAAAAGGAAAATGATGATTTATGTTTAAAATATAATGCTAATTCATTATTTACAAATAAAAATTTCTATACACATTATATTAAATTCACTCATGTCAAGCTTACATTCATATGATATTCACAGAAAATTCATTACTTAAGTTTAGCAATGAAATTGGATTTGGCACTGAGCATTTGACAGCTTGTGGACATATCACTCTGAACATGTGGAGGGGGACACAATTTACCTAAGGAACATGGTACAATCATTGGTAAAGTATGGGAGTGAAACTCCTATCTAAGTGGGAGTGAAACACCTGGGTTATTTTCATTTCCGGATTTGAAAATGAGGTCCATTGCTTGAGTCTGGAATAACTTACAGACATCTTCATGCCAAAACAGAGCAGACATTCTGCACCTTGAAGCTTTTTCCCTTGCTTGGAAATCAGGGAGAATTCATGACAGAGTGTATGATGAATGTCTTGGGATTCTTCACTCATTCATTTGGGATTTTAATACTTTAAATATCATCTTGCTTATCTTTAGCAAATTTTATGGGTATGTGATTTTTGGTAACTTTTGACAGTGTATTTAAGATCTTCAAAAACAAAACAAAATGCCCTGTTTATTAGTTTAAGCTCTTTAGTTAGGTTTAATATTTTGGGTAAGGCAAATGTTTATCTCCTACTTACCACTAATATTATTTTTTCACAGTAATTAAATTAGGTTATTTGGACAATTGTTGACTGAGAACATTATAAACTGTAATGCTTGTGACAGGAGCCTGATTTGCTGTGGCCTCTACAGAATGAATGAGACTTCATGAAGTGCATAACGGAAGCACACACCTCAACCATCTGAGGGGAGGACACACGATGATGAGGTGTAAAAAATCCACTCTTTCATCTGTGTTGGGCGACCTGATGGGTCTGAGATAGTGTGTTCGCCAGAAATTGCATCCCTGTCATTAATACATTTTCACGCCAAGTCATCTCTTTTTTTGTCTGTGTTTTCCTTGACTCTTCTCTCACCCCATATTTGAGAATCTCTGACTCCTTACTTGCAAGTACTCTGCAGTTACTGAATTTATTTTAAGAAAAACTGATGGATGAAGGAATTCTCTGTTCCTCAGGTATGTACATGATTAGATATAGTGGTTCAAGTATCGATACAACACTGAACAATAGAACATTACAATATGTAAAATCATCTAACTTTACATTTTGAAAATTGCACTGGGATTTTAATCCACATTAGATAAAGGAGGTACACCTGTTGATGCTTTGAGAAAGTTCCAATTGCAACCAAGAATTCTAGGGCCCAGAGCACAAGGTTTGTACTTAATGCAGAATACTACCAACAGGGGCAAAATTATATTTAATAATGGACTTCTTGAAAGACATGTACACACCAGATATTAAAAACAATGGCTTCTTCTCTTTAGGACTTGTGTCTCCTTTTTGTTTTCTATTACATCTTGAAGTTTAATATATACACTTGTGGGGGAACTGTCTAGTCCCTAAAAATGGCTTATGTGGAAAAGAACCCAGAGTAGATCCTTAACACTATAAACTATTCTACTAATGAATGTCCAAAAATGAGTGGGGCTTGTTGTCCAGTCTCTTGGTGAGTTGTTTGGGAAGTGCTGGTAATAAATATGCAGTGAATGCATGCTGTTGCAGCAATTACCACCTGCAACAGGTGTTAGACAATGATCTTTCTTTACAGATGGCTCAACTTGGCTTCCAATTCTGACATAGAAAATAAGCCAAGATATTATATTTGTAAGGTTTGACAACACTTAATATACTAGAGTTGGAGATAGAAATCTGTTTTTCCTCTTCCCCTTTTCTTAATTTTCTTCTTGACTTATTGCTGTAATACTTCCCAATAACCTTCCATGCTTTGCCTTGGACACCTTTCCTTGAGCATATGGCAATTGTGGACATCCCCAAAGAGCTAAGTGCTTTTGTTTTCCCATCCCAACATGAACTCTATTTTCCATCATTGACACCTAAAAATCTCACTATTAAGTAAATTTTTGTTTCTGTTGCTTGTGCTTAGAATAATATATGGCATCACTGGGAAAAAAAAACAGATTGTGGGGCTAGGGGTGTTGTTCAGAAGGTGAGCCCTTACCTAGCATGCGCAAGGCCCTGCCACGGAGCTCCAGCACCACGCAAAATAAAATCTGAAGAGAGAAAGGGATGGGAGAGAGGGAGAGTAAGGGGAGAGTGGAGTGAGGGAAGGAGAGAGGAAAATGGAGAAGGGGGCAGAGAGAGGGAGGGGAGCATGGAAAAATGGATGAAGATAGTGTGCACACGGAAGAACAAGAAAGGGTAAGAGAGCACACATTGAAAATTGAGCAAATGCCACATTCAGATCATGGAAGAGCAGGTTAATCCACACATGGAGAGAAGTGAACTGGTTAACTCCTTAATTTACAGTACTGATAGTGAATAAACGCACAGCCTACATGTTGCAGTAATTAAACTGGCACCCAGTGCACTAGTCTCCTTTTGATAGGCTCATTAATATACACTTTCTCTTTCCATAACAGACAAAAGTAATATTTGGCCACTTTCTTTGGCTGGGGATTATTAATCTTTATATGCTTAACAAAGCTATTCAAAATTAAAAGTGCTATGATGAGAAATAAAGCTGTTGCTTTCACACTCACTTCCTTTTCACTGTGCAATTGATACTTTTCCTGAACTCGTCCATTATAACTTATTTTATTCCTGCAAAGCTTTCCCCCTTAAACATTTATATTTTAATAGGTGTTAGATATGCTCCGAACCTTCTTTCCAGGCCTACCCTACAGCAGTGCTCTGCTCTATATAGTTTAGATGGGGTCATTGTAAGTTATCTTCAGTCCCAGATCCCTCTGGACTGGAATCAACATCAAGGAGAGCCTCTTTATTGGTGAAAGTTGAGCTGAGAGTTAGGCTCTGTCGAGGTTTCACAGGTGCAAGTTCATTTAACTTGATGTTTTCATTTCTGACTAGAATAGTCTTGTCCATGTTCTCTTCACTGTGCCTCGAAACGACGGCATCGAAGACATCTAGTTTTGGAGGCAAGGTTCCACTTTCAAATAGATATTTGGCTAGATAAGAAACACAGATGTTGGTCAAGAAAGAGGTAACCATGGAGAGAGTTTTAAAGGGGAATCTCTGATTGTATATGCCATTCTTGTCAGTGTAATAACCAGGGTATAAGATTAGGGGCTGCAAATATAGATATGGCTCCCCTCCAGTAATTCTCAGGAAAAGTCCAAAGATGTAACCTGCAACAGCCCCATAAGTGTTGGTTCCTTTGATGAAGAGTACACAGAGCAGCTGTGGGAAGATGATGATGTACACCAGGTCAGAACTCAGGTACCAGAGCCCATACACAGTCTTGGTCAGCAAGGCCATGGCTGTTGCAGATGCTCCAAACACAAACACGGTGATCCTCATGATCCACACAATTTCTTTGTCTGATGCCTGTGAGGAATCAATGCAGGGTCAACTTTGCAAACACCGTGCTGGCTCTTTAAGTGATGAACAGAATAAAAGTCCATGCTTAAAACTGATTTTACACAGTCGCCCATGTCCAAAGCTGATGTAACCTATGGACTTGGATACAAGGACTTCCTATATCATATGATGTCAGGCATAGAGCTTTTCTCCGAATGTAAGGAGATTAAGCTGAGATGAGCTAAGAATGGATGTCATACATAAAATATAGCAAGGTAAGATCTCACCTACATGAGACACTGAGAGTATGTACACCCTTAAGGCTTGCCTTTGTAGGAGTCCTACCATTTTCAAAGATAAACTACTTTTTTGGTGCCTTAAACCAGGTGTCTCTTGGAAATTCTCTCGGTACAATTTGTACACGTACATATGTGTGTGCAAATAAACATGCTATGGTGCATGTGACGAGGTCAAAGGACAATTTGCAAGAGTCAGTTCTGACCATGTGGGTCCCAGGGATGGAACTTGGGTCATCAAGCTTGGTGGGAAGCACATTTCCTCTCCTGAGCCATCTTATTGGCTCCAGTGGGTATATTTTGCTGACTCTGATCTAGGAAACCTGGTGAGAAGCCAAGTTTTACATGATAGATAGAGAAAAGCTCTTGACCGGGGTTCATTGTCCTTCAAAGACCATAGTAGCAAACTATCCTACAACCATTTGGATCCAGAAGGAAAATCAAATTGGAAGGCTACCATATGTTGAAAGTATCCTTTGGAATTCAAAGACCGCAGCAGTGATTAAAAAAAATAGTGTGAAGTAGCTCACCATGACTTATGGCTGCCAGAACTCTCTATGATTCTAACATATTTAATCAGATTAAATGTTTTCCTAAAATTTTGGAAGCTGCATTTTCTTTTACCAGAAAAACAATAAATTTAAGCTACAGTAACATGGCAGTTTCTCAGGAAATAGTTACACTAATACATTCGTTTTAGTGTGAAAACAAACAACAGCATACACTGCTGTGATTCCTTTGCTGGATAAATGAATTCACTACCTTTAAATATGTGTAATATGTGTATTTAACCCATATAAGGGCTGGATTGCAATATATATTCAATGTGCATGCACAGATTGAGTATCCTTTATCCAAAGTGCTTGAGAGCAGATGTGTTTTATATCCAGACAGGTTTATTTTTGCATTTTGGAATATTTATATGTTCCTAATAAGGTACTTGGGAATGAAACTCAAGTTTAAATGGAAATTAATTCACATTTCATACATACCTTGCAGGTATGGCATGAAAGTAATTTTGTAATTTTGAGACTGAAACCAGGTTTCAGAATATGGGACCACCCACTTGCTGATTTTGAAAAAGTTTTGGAGATTGGACAATACCAAATTTACCATTTCAGCTGATGGAGATTCAACCCATAATAGTATATACATAATAAATAAGCAAATATAGTGGCAATGACAAAATAATAATGACAGATTAAAGGGCTGGTCTTACATTTTGTCTGAAGGACAGCTGGTAGATATTCCGAGCAAACATGGAACTCGCTGACAGGATGGAAGAGTCGGCTGAGGACATAACAGCAGCAGAAACAGCCCCGAGACCAAAGAAAGAAATGTACCCAGGGCAGAGGTACTGCAGAACAATTGGGAGAATCATGTCTCCTTCCTCCTTGGTCTTGGGATCTGGAAACCCATAGGCAGTCTGGTTCCAGTCTGTGGAACAGAAACAACCATCACAATTGAGAGTCCCTGTGTGGTCCACTGAGGTGGGAAATCCCTATGCTGCTAATGTAAGATGTCTGCACTGCCTGGCTCCTTCGAGGGTTGTTAGCATTCAGACTTAGTCACACCTGTGGGGCCCTGGCATGCAGATATTCTTTGCGTGCAGTTGGTGTGTATTCAGAATCACAAACAACAAACTTCCCTAAACTGAATATCTCCTTCAGACCACTTGGAGCTGAGTGGATGCCTGAAGCTCATTATGTGAGCTTTAGGGACCTGTGCACACAAAGAGAACATAACCACCCCCCCTCATCCTTTTCTGGAAGATATTATAGCAACCTCTGAAGATAATGTAACAGCCTTGGTGCTGCGTTTGAGTTAGTTTTCTCCTAAGCAATTCTGTCTTGCATAGGATTTTCTTTAGGAGAAAGGAGGGCAGGTCATGCTAAAGACTGCCTCTTTTCATTCATGAGGTTCAGGTTTCTTGGAGGTCTTTGAACTTGGTCTAATATAATGACTTGAAAGGTAAGTTTATCTTCGAATATACTGCTTCCACTTTGTTATTGTGTGTGTGTGTGTGTGTGTGTGTGTGTGTGTGTACGTGTACCCATACATGTATATCCCTCAAGTGCTACAGCATATGAGAATGGAGGTCAAAAGACAGTTTGCAGAGTTCAGTTCACTCTTTCTACCATTTGTTCCAAGGATGGAACTTGGGTTATAAAGTTCACTGGCAACTGTCTTTACCCTTGGGCTATGTCACTGTCCCTGTGTTGTTTGGTTTGGTTGCACCCTGTGTTGAAGAAAACAAGGGACCTGGATTTGTACACTTATAAATTAGTTGGCTTCTTTGATATTTGGTGATCTTCCTTGATGTTGTAATGTCAGAGCTAAGCAGTAGTGGTTTTCTTGGATGCTGTCATTCCCCCACTTCTGGTTACCGTCACCATTAAAGCCATGCCTACTTGCTGACAGGGCTAAAACTTCAACTGAGAAATTAAGTCTCTAGAAATCATAACCAGGAATGTACACTCAATCCAAGAAAACAGGAAGCTGTTTGCTGGTTTCTGTTACCCAGCTTACACACACACACACACACACACACACACACACACACACACACACACACATACACACACACGAGGCAGTGGGTCCATCTGCCCTTGTAAAGCAAACCATATTTTCTTTTTACAGAAGCAGACACTGACGAGACAGTTTGCCAATGTTTTTGTTATTTAGTTTATTTTATGCCATGTAGGAACATGGAAGGGGAAGATTATGTGAAAAATCATGACTCCTGTTTTAAAAACTGAAATGAAAATAAATAAAAATAATTCAAAAACTGGCATTACTTTTTAAGAGACAATTGGGTGGATGGTAAACCCTTCCTAATCTATTTTAATTATCTCTACATAGAGAATGCTTCCCAGGATGGGTTAATATTACATATTTTATCCCATGTGTTAAAAACTGCCTCATAATCACACTTAAGACAGCTGTAACTTAGTTCTGCAGTTCATAAAATGCTCTACTGACCACAGATCTCAGTTTCTGCCATTCCACTTTTATGATCTTATGTTTATACCTCCTCTGGGTCTTTGAATCCTCAATCCTCAAGGTAATGTTATTGATATCAGGCAGGGAGGTGACTAGGAAGGAAAGTAGAGCCCTCCTAACCATGGTCAGTGCTCTTACAGGGAATCTTGCTCCCCCTTTCTTCCATGGGAGAAACATGAGAGACAGGAATGATTAAGTTCAAGAAAAATAAAGGCAAGACTTCTGAAATGTTTCATAGAGGCCAAAGGGGAAATAAATATTTTATGTTTCTCTTTTTTGTTGTCTTAGCATTTGGTTTATCTTAACCAATATATGTATTGCTTAGTTTCTGCAGGAAAAGTAAATATCCCTCTTGGTTAGCAAACTATTGCAAAAAAACAAAAAGAAAAGCCTAAACTCTCAGGTTCACAGTGGTCCATGGAGACCAGGATGAGAGTGGGAGGATTGTCTCTTAATCCGGTGGCTTACAATTTTTACTTTTCTTTGACTCATCAGGCAGGGGCTTTGGGGAGCATATAGAAAGTTTTCAGTGTCCATTTCTACCATTTATAGTTAAACTCACCAAGGAGGAGCCAAATGGAATGGTATTTTTAAGTCCCACCCCTCCCCTCAGGTTCTACTTTGTGAATCGCAATTAATCTCCTGTTTGACCTGAATATGGTGGCCAATAGACCAAAGTTGGGTGTTTCCAAATGTTTCATTATCGAGTGAGTAACAAGGACCAGGTAAAGATCTTGGAACTAGAACTCCATTTGTTGAATGCTATAGCCAAGGCATAGTAGGGTCATGCAGAAAGAATTAGTTTAATGTGTGTGGGGGGAATGGGATATGAGATAGAGACAGCCTTTTAGGGGCTTGACACACCCTACCTTGCAAATGTGACAAAAGTGCAAGAGGTTTACCTGTGGAGGCTCCAATGGCTCCAATGCATATGGACGGCAGAGCCATCACCAGGCACCCAAAAGCTGCGAGGAAGGACAGCACCTGAGCATAGGTGGCTGAGGATGAAGAGAGAACCCTCTGGAAGTAGGCTTGCCATGGAATTCCACCCAGCATCTGCATGAGAACCCAGGGATTCAGAGTAAGTCAAATGAAGGAGGAGGCGAATAGAAGGATTATTTTCCAGGAGCTTTAAACACTGCATCAACCAATTGTATTTCAAACAGTTTTAGCAGAGTTGTGAACTGTGCAATGCCCTCCACAGACCACAAATCCTAACTGCTGTAACTGTGTTTGCTGAATTGTGAAGTTGTGGCCACTTCCACGTTTGTCAGCTTAAATTCTGGTCTTCTGGGCAAAGGAATCCATGTCATTATCGGCTCTGGGTGAATTCATTGTAGCATGAAAATGGAGTCAGCATGAGTCTAGTTAGTGTCCTTGTTAATAAAACAAACAGAAGAGCAATAAAAAAAAACATAAGGGAGGTTGATTGCCTTTTCTATCAAGTAAGGACACAGCAAGAATGTTCTGTCTATGAAGGGTCAGCCCACACAAAACACAGCCTGCCAGTGCCTCGGTCCTGGACTTCATATTCAGACTGTGAAAAAAAATTTTGTTGGTTTCAAGCCAGCTTGTTAAAGCAGCCAGAGGATCTCAATGCACGTCACTGGTGACTTTTTCCCCTCTGTCACGGTTTCTCTCTGAAACAGTCCTAGCTGTCCCGGAATTCACTCTGTAGACCAAGCTGCCCTCAGACTCACAGAGATCTGCTTGTCCCTTCTTCCTGAAGTAAAGGTGTGGGCTACCACTGCCCATCTAATGGTGATTTTTTTAAACACTGGACTCCTTGCATTGTTTCTCTTTATGACTACACTAGACAGTCTTTTCTTTTCCTTAGTTTACCTGTTCTTAGCTGCCTTAAAATTACCCAGAAGTCTTCAGTTTATATTGAGTCAGAAATTCCAACCGTCATAATAAAAAAACTAATTGAGAGTCTGAAAATATGTAATGTAGCCCAATGAATATCTATAGACATTAATCACAAGAGAATTGTGTGGAAAGACACTGTTTTCACACTCTTCTAGGAGAGTCAATGCATTGTGGTATTTTACTAAGGGGGGTGTATAGAAAGCTCAGAAACTTTAAAGAGAGTATCACAACTTTTGTCTATATTCATTTTTAATGAATACCTTATGGTGATATGATTTTTCAATTAAATAGCATTTATGTTAACAAAGAATATGTAAACAACTGGTAAATGTACATAGATACACAAGAAGTATGCTTAAAATTGAAGACACAAAATAAAAAAGATTGATGGTGTTGAGCTGCTGTGTAATTGGCTACAAGACACATGCATGGAAACAAAACTGAGAAACAATTATTTGGGGTTATGAGAAAAGGTGATATGTGGATGCCTACATAGAAATCAGTTAAGTCCGCTGAAGTGACATCTGAGTTGGACATGTAGGAAAATGGGAGTCTCTTGAAGAGATGATAATATGAAAAAAGTAAAAACACCATGATAACCAGGCACTGTGGGACCACTGCCTACATCACCATGATACTCAGGCAGCTGTGGGATCACTGTATATAAGAAATTAGTAGTGTTCAGGGTACAGAGTAGTGGTCAGAGAAAAACATGGAAGGTAATTGACTTTCCCCTGAAGTATTGACACTTCTTCTATTGTTAGAATGGTAGAAAGTTGATATTCACAAAGTAGTATAAAAATAAGGGAATAGATGAAGGAGCTTGCTATGTGACCTTGTATCTTTCCTTCAGGGATTTAACTCTGGTGTGGCTGTCTTATTTATCTTAGTCTTGTCAAGAACAGTTCATGATATACTGAATCTAGAGTAATTTCCCTTCCTGTACAAGTCACACTTTTAAAAATTAAAAACAAACAGTTGAAAATAAATTCCCAAATCCATAATTCTATTCCTCAAATCTATATTCTTCTAAAAATATTTTTCTTTCTTTTTAAACCTATAGGTTAATATGTCATTAGCAGCCCCTAAGTCCACAAGTGATAGGAATTTATGCACTTTTAGGAACATACCACCCTGAACATTCATAGTTTCTAAGTAAAGTAAAATCTAGCTGTGTTTTCAAAGAGACAAATTTATACACTGAAAACCTAATGCCAATTTGTTGGTATTTGGAACTGAATTGAGATTTGGCAGACATAATCAGATGGTAAGAGTGGAGCTATTCCAAAAGAGATTGGTGACCCCTGAATTATTTACTTATTCTTTACACCATGGCAAGGCATGGTGAGAAGTAAGCAGCCCAGAACTTGAGAAGAACATTTGACAGAACCCACCTGGTGCCCTGACCTTAGGGTCTACTTCTAGATTCTTGAGAAATAAATCTCTGTAAGTGGTTACTTTGTTGTGGTAGCCCTACTGATGAAGACAGGGCAATTTGAAAAATGAGTGTGGAAGAATGACAGTAGGGAAACCAAGGTAAGGAGGCTTTAGGCCTAATGTAGAGCCAGGTAGGGATGGTAGGACTGAGAAAGGCCTCTAGTGCCATTGGTCAGACTTAAGAATCATGTTCAAATAGATATGTGGAAAATAATCAGAAGACCAAAGACCATCAGGGCTACAATGCAAAGCTGAGTTCTATGGTTTCTCCTTTCACTGAACACATGGTATTTGATGTCCAACAATTGGGATCATAAGTCTGATTAAAGAACTGAATATAATGTTTTATTTTACAGATGTGTCTTATGAGGACTTCAATGTGGTATGGGGGAAAGGACCTTGAGACTCCGATGCTCTGCTTTAATTCCTAGCACAGGCACAAGGTTGACAGACAACAAGTTGTCTGCTTTTGCCTTTTATTATCTCCATGTAACTATAAACACACTGGAAGGCAGGTGCCATGTCACAACTCACTTTTTATATTCATAGTTACAATGTATCCCAGTAGAAAGAAAGCCAAGGGATTTCTTAGCAATCCTTATGAGTGAAACCACTATTGTAAGCATGCTTTCCCCCAAGTTTTCCTGCTTCTTACTGGGAAATTCTTTATTGGGAAAGACAAAAGCAGTTTGGGTGTTGAGGAATTGTTAATATTCAGTAAAGTGGCAAACACATAAACTCATAAAATATTACAAACCCTCTAACGAGGAAACAAAAATAACCAATTTTCCCTTCACTATAACCAATTTCTTGCCTTGAAATCAGATGCAACGTGCTATCTCCATATATAATCTCTTTAGTTAGCAGGATCATAAAATCTGGTTGGGTTTGCATGGTTCTTCCTTCTTCCTTGACCTGCTCTCTGCCATGATTTCCTCTATGAACTTCTCTGACAGTCACACCAAGGTTTCATGTTTTTTGAGCCACCTCTACCTTTTGAGGTCTCTTCCTTTGGAATCATTCCCTATTAATGTTTTCCAACTTACCTCATGCACTGAGGGCCAAGACATGTGACTCCAGTCTTCCAAGATGGGAGTCAATTCAGATATGGCTATGAACCAGCAGGTGAAGCTCTAAATACACATGTGAAATCTTAAACATGTCTTTGATTTTTATGAACAATTAGGCCGCATTTCTCGAATCACAGTGTGACTTACCAACAGCAGAAAATTATCAAGCCAGGTGTAGATTTCAATTGGTTCAATGGTTCCCAGCCAGGGACTCTGGTATTTGGCATGTACAGCAGTGAATCCAATGTCTGTGACTGCAGGATGTGACAGGGCAAAGGGGACACTGATCCACTGGAACAAAGAGTGACATTAGAGCATTGGTTATGAGCTTAACTGACCAGGATATGCATGTTCCTAGTTCATCTTTCTCAGAAGTGACACAGCTTGATAAGTTGCTCTTTCTCAGACAGAGAAGGCCAGAAATTATGTTGTTTATAGGAAGCCATGAAACATGGACTTAGAAAACAGTGAAAACACACATTGAGTACTCATGGGTTTGACTATGTTGCATCATATATACCATAGAAGCAGTCAGCTGAAAATTTGGGGAAAGAACCATTCCATCACATACACACACACACACACACACACACACACACACACACACACACACACACACACACACACACCACTCACTTTTGTTTTCAGTGAATTGGTCAAAGATATATATCCATTAATATCTTAGGGAAAGAGGTTTTTGAAAGATGTGCCCCACACTGGTAGACAGGGCCAGAGCTGAAGGATTTAGGGGGAAATGGGACAAAAAGAAGCACACAGAGACTATTCAACTTACAGCAGGTTACGTGGAGTGAAGTCACTGTAAGATGAAAATGCTTTTAAGTCACAGAACCTACCAAATACCACTGCTGGGCAGCAAAGTGTGCAGAAATGTGTTGGTCATTTCCTTGTGTAATTGTATGGCTAACACGGATCTGCAGTTGTCTGCCACTGCTGAGCATCAGGGAGGATTGAACTCAACTTGGCAAGCACAGGAAAAGAGGCAAAACGAAACTTCAAATAGATGCTTCTCTTGATTGTGGTTGGCTTTTGAACCATTGTAAAATCAAATATCCTAAATGGAAGTATCTCAGTTAAAGGATCATTTACATATGCTCCGTGTGTGTGTATGTGTGTGTGTGTGTGTGTGTGTGTGTGTGTGTGTGTGTGTGTTGGGCAACAGAGCTTGCTGGCAGAGGAGTGAATTCTGGAAATTAGAGACGAAGACAGACTCAAGAAGAAAATCTTGAGTTTCATGCTAAAGGATTTTAATTTTTTTGTAGATAAATCAAAGCCAGATGACATTCTCTGAAGTTTGGCAAATATTTCGATTTAATGTCATGGATATTTCAAAACAAGAACAAATGGGAGTGCAGCAGGTCTCCTATGCCTCCTGACAAAGTTCTGACAACCAGCAGTGATGTTGGGAGTTGAATGATGTTTAGTAAGAACAGGGTGGCAGAGTCAGCCGTCTCTGTGTTAGAATTCCTGAGCAGGAATTCCTGAGCAGGCAACAGGAGTCAGAAAGGGAAAACTAAGTAAACCAAGTGTTCAGGTTCAGATCTCCAAGGATTATTGTAAAACCCACAGAATTACAGAGTCTGAGAAGGTATCGTTAAGGTATAGATTGATTATGTATGTGTGTATAGGAACTAAATCTGGGAAAATTATATTTAGACAGCCAATTCTATAGTGGTTTAATTAAGAAACCCATAATTAAGTAGTATTCCTTACTAAATAATACACACATGATCAAATTTAGTCTAGGAATAAAAAGACTAGTTAACTCCCATAAATTATCCGCTTAGTCATGCTTTATGGCCAAAATTTCCAAAATATATCCCTAAATAATTTGCTTTTCTGTTCCTATAGCAACACACTTGACTCATAAGTCTGTATGCCATAAGTTCTGGTCTCATGTAAAGCAATGCGGCAGGATATACTTCGTTGGTAGACAGACTCTCCCCTGGGGTTGGGCTTCTTGGGATAACAAGAGCATCAATTATGAGAGTTGCCATTGCCTCACTGACCTCGCCTCTGACACTCCTGAGAACTGCTTTTGTGTTGTCTGCTTCCTTTATGGATGGCTATGATGATGTGGGGTAAAAACCAGAACACTGCACATCTGCTTAGTTTGGGCAGTTTAAAAATAAAAAGTGGGAATTCTTGAGCAAATGAAATTTTGTTAAATTTGTAATGTGTGAATGATATTTCATAACACAAACAGTGTCTAGGAGAAGAATGGGAAATGCGGGTTTTGTGAATATATGGGAATTAACATTTACAGTTTGCAGTTAATGAATTACTCTGGGATATTATTGCTGACGACATAAAGTTACAATAAGAAGTTGTGAGAGTCATTTTTTTTCATTTCCAAACATGGATGATAAAATTTAAAATAGTGGATATTTTTGCTATCAGAAAAGTAAATAACAGAAGAAAATCAAACCTATTTTGATCCTTATTGGGAAAATGAGTATGCATGCTTTCTCTGTGGCTCTGTACAAGGACAGCTGGCATGATGCTTTCATTTAAATGAGACTGTGCACATGGGCCCATGAAACAGAATGGACACACCTTCCCATTTATGTCTCTTTTATATGAATTGGGTGCTGTACACTGTCATAAATGCAATTGTTATTTTGCACTTTAAGACTTGAGGATGCAAAGTTTCAAAAGTAGACTAGGATGTATTGAACATGCTCACAAGTGCTTTCACTGTCATCCTAATACTACTCATGCTTCATGGTGATAGTATTCCTTACTTAATAAGACACATGTGTGATCTGATTTAGCTGGGAATAACAGAAATAGTAAATCTTGCTAATCGCTTATGTAAATAAGCCCCTCATCTTTAGATCCCTGTTATAGTTTCTATGTCCTGTCAGTCACCCTGTAGTAACTAACAGAAGACAAGGAGACATACTTTGCCCACATTGCCACTGAATTAATTTTGATCAGGAGATGACAGTGTTGCTGATGAATACCAAAAGGGTATTTTGATTTAAACTAATAGTGGTGGGAAGCAGGATCCAGGAATTTGTAGTAGTTAGAGTTAGAACTAGAGCATACCTTTCTGTCAAACACAAAAATATCCAGGATTTTTTATTTAACTAGTTCATAGAAAAATCAGTATTTCAAGTAGTATTATATCTACTGTGTATTTTTGAAGATGGAAAACTCATATATACACTGATGTTTTTCTGAGTTACAGTAAATATTTTTTTAGAAGGATAAGACAGGGAGGGAGAGAGGAAGGGAGGAAGAGAGGGAGGGAGGAAAGAAGGGAGGAGATAAAAAAAATTAGGTGGTGTCACTTACCAGTCCAATAAAAATGCAGAAGAGTTGTACAACATCAGTATATGCCACAGAGTAGAGCCCGCCCACTAGGGTGTAAAGAATGGCAATGAGTGCAGAGACAATGACCGATGCGTTCACATCCACATCTATGATCACGCTGATGGTGGCTCCTAGAAGAAAATGACCAGGCATCTCAGTGATGAAGGGACACTTCTGCTTCCAAAGTGAAATCCCAGCAGATTTGTCCCAGGGCCTTGTAAGGTGTACAGAATAACAACGTGGAAAAGGACTATTATGTTAGAAAATTTATGTCTTAGTAAATGAAGTATGTTTATATTTACATAGAGCAGGTGTCAAAAATGTTCTTAATGTTGGTGTTTTGCTAGTTAATCTGTGTAAGACATATCTAAAACACATAACAACAGCACAACTAGAAATATGGATAAAAACAGCTCCATTGCCAGAACTTGTAATGTTTTAACTGTATGAAATTGTGACTTAATTAAACATGTACAACAGACTTCTTTACAGCCATAAAGAAGTCTTTCTGAGAGGCATGAACACCCATTTCCATAATTTACAATGAATATTTATTTCTATTTTGCCTTCTGCTAGCCCACAATAATGAGCAAACCCTACAAGATACCAAATAACTGAATCAGATTTATAGGAGAAACTAATAAATTTGATAAATTGGGTTATCAACTTCTTTTCTCTCTCGAAGACTCCAGAGGTATCTTTAAATTGTTTAGTTGGTAAATGTGTGGCTTCTACCCAGAGCATGCTGAATAATCTTGGCTCTGAAAAATCATAGTTTTGGGACTGGAAAGATGGGTCAGTGGGTAAGAACACAGATTGATCTTGCAGAGGACCCTGAATCAGTTCACAGCACCCAAATGCTGGCTAACAACCATCCATAACTCCAGGTCTAGGAGATCTTACATCCTCTTCTGACCTCCATCAGCACCAGGCACACCGTGCACATACATATATGCAAGCAAAATATTCAAAAACACAAATAAACAATTATAAATTAAAAAAAAGAAAATTATACTTTTAGTATCTTCCATCTTCAATATTTTTGCTTTCTTGCCTTATGGCATTGTTTGCTGGTGCTCATCTTTCCACTGAGAATTTTATGAATGGGCAGTTTGAAACACTGCTGTCTCTTTCTACTCCTTAACAGGCATGCTCACTGTGTATACCACCTACCAGGGAGAAACATTTATTATGTAAAGGGCAACTCACATTGTTCTAAAACAGCAATATAATTTTTTTGCTTTAACTATGCTAATAGGACACTTTCCTTGAATGGAAAGAGCAATATTATAAAGAAGTATGATTTAAATGCAAAAGAGGCCAATTATCAGTGCTTTTAATAAATGGTAGAGTTACTGTATGGACCTTTAACAGGGTATTTTTTTTTCTTTTTCTAAGGCTTGTTTTTCATGCTGGAATTTTAGTTGCAAATCTCTTGTTATTTATTTTTTTGGACAAAGTGTTGTGCTTTTATAACATTTCCAAGTAATAATACCATGAATTATAAGCAATTTAATCACAGGCAAATTTCATAGCACTTGTCTTTGGAGATATTACATTGGTGGCAACTCTGTGACTTTAGAGAAGTTACCTTCCTTTCTATCACAACTACATTTGGGTTCAATTTTTTACGAAAATATTTTCTATATGATTACATTAATTGTAGTGAGGAAAAACTGCATCTTCCAACCTCCTGGTGTGAAGTTATGAAACAAATTATTGAAATTAGCTACTAGAAATATAAGCACACATTCCATTCAAGCATCCTCAGGTTCCTGGCTAAAAATGATAATCAGACATAGCCTGGCAGCACTAGGCTGGTATTAACTGGTCCTCACTGGAATTGGTTGGTATCACAATGCAGCATGATTCAGCAATTTGGTGTCAGGTGAGAGGACACAATAAGTAAGGAAGAAGAAGTAATAAAAGCCAAAGGTTTCGGGAACTTTCAGGATGTCAGTGTTACCCATTAGCGACTGATGGATTGCGTCAAGGCAACATAGTTTTGCTTAATGCAGGGGACAAAACATGGGAAGGATAAACGCTTGAGTCATGCCTGGAAGAGGTTATTCAGGAGAGAAAAGTGAGAGAAGACCAGATGTAGAAGTGACGGTGCACATAAGCCTGTGACTGCAAACATCCTCGAGGGCCTCTGTGAAGCTGCTCCTACCCAGAATGCACAGTGAGAATGATCTCTTTCGTAGCTGTGTTACCTTAAGTCAATATCTGTTGTGATTACAGAGGAACGATTTTCCTATGCTTTCAGTTCCCATGCTCATTCATACTGAGGCAAAAATGAATGCAGGTAGATTTTATACTTGTTCTTTAGTGTCCCAAGATTATTTCTTACAATCACTACTTTTGAAACACATCCAGCAATTAAAGAACAAAGGCAATAAGGTTATAGTACACATGTACTGCTAGAGCATAGATTTCTACTGAGGGCAGTAGTATGTGTGTATGTATCTATGCATGTATGTATGTATGTATGTATGCATGTATATAGTTGTTGATTATAATATAAGTGTATGTGTGTTACTTCGTAACTGTGTGTATGTAGCCAGAGATTGTTAACATATTTTCATATACCTGAAATATAGGTACTGACATAGACACATATCAGCAGTAGTAATTATATCATTATATCAAAGTACAGAGTTTATCTGCTGTATTTTGCATAAAATGCCATAGAAACTTCAGCTCATTAATTCTATTCTACTTTCAGGACTTTTGTTCGGAACTTTGTTCAGCCAGAACAAGCATTTTCTATTCTGTTATTTAGCCCACTCCTTTCTGTCATACCTCAGCAGGTAGTCTTTTCTTTAACCTGGAATTTCTGGTGTCAAAACTGGTGGCAAACAAACTCCACTTGTTTCTCAGCTAATGAGAATGAGGTTGGGGGAGACTGTTCTTTTTATACATTATGTCATTAGGCTTTTAGTTGAGGACTGTTGTCTAGCATAGGGGAGTGCCATTTTTACTGAGTTATTGGAGTATTTTATAAACTAACAAATAGTCTTTTTTATCTCACTATTGCTTCTTTCCTTCCGTAGTTAGAGACCAAGACCATGATCTTAGGGTGTATAGGAAGTTGAGAGGACAGGGAGACAGTTGGTATGAACTAATCTCTGATGGTACAGAGGCTACATAAGATAATACTGGAGCCAGGAGACAAGCTTGTGGTCTGTCACACATAACATAGAAGATCATTCCCTTTTCTCTAATCACCTAGTGCCTGGCTGTGGACTTAAGCCTTGGAGAAGAGATGGGGAACCCTGTTTAGGACAGTGCCTGGATATGGCCACCTGACCCATTGAATAGGGCTGTGGGGGTCCAGCTCCTCAGCGGTTCACCAGCTCCACACAGGGTAGCCTAGAACAGGCCTGCTTTGGATATAAAGGCAGTGGAGTGACATTGAAGATCTTCCATAGTCCCACTGAAAACGTGGGAGGTGAATCCAAAGTCCTGGCAAGTGGGTTTGTAAAGTGTCAGAGGCAAGATGGAAGGGTCACAATTCTGGAGGAGAAATACACAGGGACGTAATGAGAAGAGAGAGCAAAGGCACTAACATGTCTGTAGATCCTGTTGAGATTTTTGGTTTCAAAAGAGAAGAGAGTCAAGAAGCCTGAATTTAGAGAGTTGGCTACCAGAGGAGGACAGAACTGAAAGCAGAAAGACCTCTGCACTGGCTCCTGTGAGGAAGGCGTGGCTGAGGCAAGGAAGAGGGAGAGGTGGACAGAGGCCAGGAGGGTGAGTGACAGCCAGAAGGAGAAGTGAACAGCTAAGAATGATCTGAGAGCTGATTTGACTGGCAGAATGCACTTGATATTGTGCACAGCTTCTCCAGGGTTTGCATCTCCAGTTCCCTCGAGAGCCTTAGGCTGTTCATGTGTTAGCAACTGGCCATGATTGTTTTCACCTCTAAATCTGCATCTTCAAGAGTAGACTGGGGTCAAAAGAAGCTGGGGACTGGAAACTTTTCATAAGCTAACTATAAAAAGCAAAAACAAACAAACAAGCAAACATAAAAACCACTTAAACTCATGAGAGAATCCTCGCTGTGTTCTGTTAGTCTCAGTTTTGTCATTAATTGGCCATAGTATTTTGCTTTCACAAAAACTGACATTGATGTGTCAAGTTGGATGGCTTTGCTTGAATGCCTTGTCTGTTCTGTCCACAGGCTGTGAGGTCCCATTTCTCTACAAATGTTACTTAGTGTTGGGAGTCACACATTATTTTGTACTTGCCTTTAATAGGACAAACATTACCTAACACTGTTACTAATTTTAAAAAAATGTTTAAGGAGTTTAGTTTTACCTATGTTTATCAGTTTTAGCATGACAGTCACTAATAGGGAAAATGGGAAGAGACAAAATTAAGATAGTTACCAGGTGAATAAAGATAATAGTTTATTTAAATTTATTTAATACCACAGATTCCCCTTAGTCTTTGACTCATGGGCGATATTTTAAAGTTCTAATCCAAACTGTACCTTTTAGTTGTGTTTAATTAATTTAATTAAGTTGAGCTCAATTGCTTTCTAGATCATAAATATCCTACAAAAGCAACTTTATAACACCTGGCCACACTGTAATGATGTGATTCATACTCAAAACAAATAAAGCTGAGATCAGGCTTCACCTCTACAGCAATACTTCACTAAGTATAGAACTTCTATTGAGATTTCACAAGAATAAATACAATTTGGATATGGCTTCAAAGAGATTCTAAGAGGCCAAACCCTATGTTCAGGCACTGGATACTCAGTAGATATATCTTCTTACCTAACGCAGAGAAAATTGCTGCAGCCCAGAACATCTCTCCCATCAGTGCAGGGATGAATAGCAGGCCACCCATGCGCTTTCCGTAAATCTGTTGAAATGGGTCTAACATGGTCACATACCCCTTGGAACGCATAGGTTTTGCAAAGAAGAGACCACCTAAAACAAATCAAACAAGTGCTTGTGAGACCAAAGGCATGATACATACCTTTTACTATATATCTGTTTCCCTCTAAGACAATGAATTTTTAAGGTATCTTTATGTACTAAGAAACCTTTTTTACATGTCTTACAAATATTTTACCAAGAAATATTTAGCAACCTAATGTAAATTCCTTAGTGCATCAAACAGTTCAGTGTCCAATGGGCAATTGGATGACATAAATGAAGCATGTGAATTGAAAGACATGGACCAGGTTCATGTGCATTAAAATACTTAGATGAATTTGTGTCACACAATTCAACATTTAGACACTTTGTGTCAGTACAAACTCCAATAAAAGCATTTTGTGTAGCAAAATGGGGACCTCTCTTATATAATATTCAAAATTTTAGTAGTTTAACTTACTGAAAGGAACAAAGGAACAATAGAGTTGATTAGGTTTTAATGACATATCCATAGTACTTTTTTGAAAGAAATAAATCACAGTTGTTCAAGAAATTCTTAAGCTGTTCTAGTAGCCACAGGATCAAAGAGGTTTCTATACAGTTCGTAATCAGGAGATTAATAATCCTAGCATCAGTGGTGTTCTGCTACATAACAATTTCCGGTAATTGCTACTTAGGAATTTTCTCCACAATAGTTGTTCACATCATTTGACTTATTATTTACACTTTGTGCTGAGCACTGAATGTGTCACTGGGATCTCAACACCCACTTACCTAAAATCAGACTCAGAGAATATCCAATGGGTGCCTGAGCCCATGCTAGACCACAGCCTGGTCCATAAACTGCTTCAGCTGTCCCATTGATGTAACCTCCTCCAACCCAGGTGGCTGAAATAGAACAAACAGCAGGGTTATAATGCTCTCTTCACTTGCTGTGCCCTGGGCCTAACCGTCCAACACAGTGGCCACTGGCTTCATGTGGCCATATAGACTCTGCAATGCAGTATTCTGTTAGATATGTTTTTTCAGCTATATTAAAGCAGGCAAGGAAATGCAGACTTTTGCTAAGCAAACGCAAGCCAAGACTGACAGACAAGCTTTACTAATTCTCCTAACAAATCTGATCATGCATTTTTCAATATAATGTTTTATTAATTCTTCCAGAATTTCATATAATGAATTTTTATCATATTCAGCCCCACACCTTCCCCTAATGCCTCCTAGACCCATAATACTTTATTCGTACTGGGAAAATCAGAGTCATCAGAACTCCAATATTTTGTAATTTCTGTACTTCTAAGAGTATAACAGAAAGATTCAAAGTGACCACTGTGCACAATGTATGTGGGATGATGAAGGTCCCAAGCTCTTAATACTCTCATCAGACAGGAGACTGAGTCATCACAGAAAGAATGCAACAGAAAAGAATACATCTCTATGTATAGAAATCTTGTCCATACCACTGAGATGTGATTGGCTGTTTTCATGCCAGATTTTGTCTCCCTTTTAATCCAAGAGGCAAAAAAGGGTGAGGAGAGAGAGAGAGAGAGAGAGAGAGAGAGAGAGAGAGAGAGAGAGAGAGAGAGAGAGAGAGAGACTGTGTGTGTTCGTGTACATAAAACAGCACTTAAAGGAAAAAGAAGCCTTGAATATCAAAGAGAACAAGCAAGGATACATGGGAACGTTTGGAGTGAGGAAAATGAAGTGAGAAATGATATAATTATACAACTGTATTACAATTTCATAAATGAAAGAAATAATTATTAGCTTGAGAAGACTTTTCTGGTGAGAAACTTTAGGCACATTTAACATGAAGTTTAGGTACTAAACCCTGAAGAGAGCAGGAAATGTATAGCAGCCACTCCCATCTTCACATAAGCTTCCAGACCTATAGTGCAGGCAAATAAACACTGCCATTTGTTCATTTTCTCATTCTAGATCCTGTTAAAATTTTAGAGTTTTTATTCTCTACCAGGCACACAGAGTTAGTAACAAGGATCCAGAGAAATGTACGCTTACAAGGTTCAGAATCTGAGATTTCATCTTCGAGCTAAAATGGCTGAAACCAATAACATGCCAGCCATACCTTGGCACAGATTGAAAATGGCTCCAAGATCTTAGGAGCACAGAGCTTCTTAGCAATGACTTTTCAATTCATGACTTTGCAGTCCCTCATCCAAAAAATCAAATCTGTGCCTGAGAGATTGCCCTTATTATAGAACTGAAAACATGGTCACTCACCATGATGTCAAACAGTCTTTCCCATTTGTTATGGGGTTAGTCCTTTCTAGGCCACAATTTGGTTCCACGTTTACGTATATTTGTTTCAAATAATGAGCAAGAACATATAAGATATATATTTTAAAGGAATCTACATTTCACTCTCTATTTCTTATGGAATGCACATAATAAGTGAATCTAGTGAGGCTCAAATAATATGGTTCAGATTTGAAATGAATGGTCATATTGACTAAGGGTCTTCTGAACTTGGAGAAAGAATTGTTAGCACATCAGCTAGACTATGATAACACTTTACAAGAAACAGCCTCATTTGGTGATTTTTATAGTCTTTAATTCTGTCATATTTTTAAAAATTCTGTATGTCATGTAAGAACAAATTCTTCAATATTGTATGACTCTATGAAATAGATTATAAAGTAGTAGAATATTGTAGCAATCAGCAATGAATAAAATGATTGGTCATTCAACAGCTTCTTATTCTCACAATTTTTTTGGAAACAAAGTGCTTTTTTTTAAAGAGACAGAGCATACCAGTGAGAGAGCTGGACACAGCACAGCATGGAGGGATCCAGAGCATGGCCAGCCAGACTTGGCCCTGATCTTAGCTAACTAATCAACTCGGGAGACTCCCTTTAACTCTGCAGCCCTTGCATAGTGTCCACGGTAAAGATCACATGAATAGGTGGTGAGTGAATGCCTGAATTCACAATGCATTTTTACTTGACAGATAAAAATCTACTGTCCATACAGGATGCTGTAGATTTCAGATGGCCAAAATGAAGGTGTTCCAAACATGGGGACCAGTTTCATGGGATACTTAGGTCCCTAGCTGACACAGAGTGTGACTGTCTTTAAACGACACTTCTACACAGAAAGGGATATTTCATTTGGATATGATTTCTAGTAAGATATTTTCCTCATGAGATGTCAAGAGTTCCAGTTAAAGCAGATTCTTGCAAGTGTTAAATATTCACTAATTGAGGCTCAGACGTAAGTGTTGCCAGTCCTTTACAAGTTTATATTGTTTTCACAATTATTTTCAATGACCAAGACAAATTTGAAAAACCAAAGAAATCACTCTGAGATCAAAGGAAGAAAGATCAAAGGCCTCTCCTAACACAAAGAAAATTATAAAGGAAGAGAAATGCAGATGCTGATCTGGGAGTTTTCTTTGAGGACACACCCTGACCTTTTTCTTTTGATATCAAGGATCCTGGAAACCTTACTTTTAGTGTTGTAGATTGCTTCTTTTAAGGAAAATGGTTATTGAGTGAGAAGGTAGGCTTCTAACAGGCATTAATTAGACTGGAATTGTAGTGACTCCAAAATGATTTATTCAGGCTAAAAATCACAACTAGTTAGTATTCCCTTGTCATTTAAGCGAACTCAGTCACAACCTCATGCTTGTATTAATGGATGTATTGAGACACCATGACATTAAATAACAGATTCACAACTTGAAAGCCTATGACTCTGCATTCCTACACCCCTTTGTTTTACCACTAGCTAGTCAAGAGGGACTGAATTGCTTTGCTAATATTTAGTCCAGTGATTTATTTTAAATTCATTTTTGTCGAGTACCACTAAGATTAAACCTTTTTCATTTAAATTAAGCATGAAGTTACTTTAAAATACATAAGTAGTTGGCTGAAAGAACTCCAAAGAACAAAAAGCAATGTTTGCTTTCTCATCCAGAACACAAGCCAGCATGAGAAGGAAGCATGGGAACACCTACCTGTCATGGTAAAACCACCAACCAACAAACCAATGTCTCGACCCCCAACTATGATGGCTTCGCTGCGCTCTCCTGCATTGCCGCTGTTTTTGGTTTTCCATGCTGCCCATATTCCAACCAGAAATATAAGGAGGTAGAACAGGATGATAGCTACCAGTCCTTCTACATGGAAAGCCATTTTTATTTAAGGTAACGTGCAGATCCTTCCGCAGTGGGCTACTTCATCAAGCCTTCTGGAGAAAATACAGCAATGCATTATTAAGCAGCCAAGCTCTATGCCTACACAGGCTGCCAAGTATAAGCAGCTGGCTCCAGACATCCCTTAAAAAAAAAGCTTGCATTGAAATTCCCTTAAACTAGTCGTGGCCAACAAGTGTCCACTACATGGGTCTGCTTCTGCTTAACAAGTTAATGCTTTGAATTCTGAAGAAACAGAAAAAAAGGAGTGAACACAAACACAATTATAATAATTTTTCTATTGTATAAATTCTTTCAAGTTGAAATTAAGTCTGATTTGTATTATAACTAAGTTCTTCTGTCAAGAGATCGTTGGCAACGAGTATTCCTGTATTTGCCCTTTGAAACCAAGTCGTTATTTCATAACTGTTTGTTAATTTAAGTGTATCCTAAAGGAATACTCCAAGAATGTGTGTGTGTGTGTGTGTGTGTGTGTGTGTGTGTGTGTGTGTTCACTATTCAACATCTACTTATCCTTTCAGAGGACTTCAGGGAACAGGTCCAAAAGTAACCCATTTAAAATACATCAGTTGTGGTTTAATTTACTGTGACAACCAAATATGTTTTCATTGTTTAAATGAATGACCCTCCACCCTCTCAATCTTCCTTTGTCCTTAGTTCCTATCATGTCCCCACCCTTTGCCTTGTTGCCTCTTCCTGGTCTCTTTGAGAAAAGGAATTTAAATCAGGCAGTGTATAAACCACAGTCACAGATACTAAGAGTGAAACCAAGAGGACTGGTGTCAAATTCTGAGTTAAAGCTTCATCCTACGGAATTCTTGGTCTTTCCTGTCTCGCACTACCTGAGCTATTTCCTGCACCCAATTCACATGCTTAAGTTTCTGTGGGAGTCTGTGCTTTGCAAATTGGGTGTTGAGGCGCTGAGTACAAGCACTCACCTCCGGGATACCAGGGAGCTCTGGGGAGCCTGGACCTGGTGGGCCCCGCCTACGGGAACACAGAGTCAACAAATTCCCCCTCAGCCCAAGCTCCCAGGCGCTCAGCTGCCCCGGCTTCCCCTTGTCCTGAGTCTCCAGAACCCAGAATCTGCAGCCACAAGTGCTTTTCAACCTTGCGGAGGGTGCATCCCCACCAGGCAGAGTCCGTCCCTCCTCCCAGAGCCCCCGAGGGCTCTGACACAGCTCGCGCTCCTGGCTCTTACCTGGGCGTCACCCCGGAGCTGCTCTGGGGGTCCAGGCGCTCCCTGATCCTGCCGCTGTGCGGGGCAACGAGGGAGGGAGGCGCGGGGTGAGTGGAGGGGCTCGGTGGGGAGCACGCCGAGGGCTGCGTGGGGCAAGGCGATCGATTGGGGTATTGGGAAAAGTCTCTTTATAAGAGCGACGGGCGGGGGCGATCGTCAGAGCTCAGGAGATGGACGTCAGAGCAAAGCGGCGCTGGGCGGGAGCCGCGGACGGTGCCCTAGAGTGGAGCTGGGTGCAAGGGCTCAGAGCCAACACTTGTCCAAGTCCATGTTCCCATCCTAAGTCACCTGCTGCTGCCTTAGAATGAAGGGCTCCTGACCCTAAGCTCATTCCCAAGTTTAACTGCCCCCGCTCTTCCCATCCCCATAGTGTGCAAAAGACAGCAATGGACTCAGGATTTCCCAGACCCACCTTCGGGTGTCTCCATGAAAACTCTGTTCTGGCCAGAATCCCCCATCACTGGTGGGACTCCGTGGGGGTGATTCCAAGCCCTTGTTGATGGATTTCATGTAGAGGACATGTTCTGACAGTTTAGAGTAGTTAGCGCTTTCCTTTTTGTTTTCTTTTCATACTCCATTAAAAAAAAAAAAGGGATTACAACAAGAGTCTCTTATAGTTGCATAGTTGTTTAAAACAAAGTTGGTGTGTAGACACTGGTAACATCGATCCTAACCAAGCAAACCAGTTGCTTGTTTGAGTAAATATTCTATTTTATGAGGAGCTGTTGGTGGTGGTGGTTGGGGTGGAGGATGGGAGGAGAGGAGAGAGAGTGAACTGGGATTGGCATGTAAAATAAGATTGTTTTTAATTTACGAAAAAATTAATTTAAAAAAGAAACATTCTATTCTAGCTTTACAAAAGCACCCAGCCTATTACTTCAAACACATCTGCAGCTGTAGCGCACACGGATCCATCTGGTAGTTTGTGACTGGATTGCTTTTATGTCTGTTGTACCTGTCTGTAAATGGCTTTATCTTGTAATGGCTGTGCATATTGCAGACAGAGATATCTGGACATCGTTCTAAGTGTATGCGTGTCATGAGAGGGTTGTTACAGAGAGGGTATAAGTAAAAGAATAAAAGATTGAAAGCCACCAAGTCTCAGCCCTGGGGCCATGTACTTTCTACATTCCTCCAAGCCAGTCTATTAAACAGTGAAACAGTGCATAGGATAGGTAATGAGATGAACTGTGTCCACCTCTCTAGGCCAAGCTGCAGATCAGCTCCCATCCTAGGCTAGACTTAGTGGGGGGTCTTTCAAATGTACACATCCCTTGTTCCTTTGTTCTCTGTGAAAACAACTTCCCCCAGCTGCCTTACCTAGGTAAGAAAGCTCAGTCCAGTCCTGACAGTAGTGAAGGCAAGGCAGAGGCTTGTGTGGACCCTTGTCACATCTAAGGTTTGTGGTCAGCTAATTGTGTTTCTGGAACTGACCTCCTTTGAACTCAGGAAGGGCATTTTAAAGGAACTGGCAGAAGACAGGCATGCAATTTGATATAATCCCTCAGTTTTTAAGTGGGGTCCATTCATTCATTTGTTGTCTTATTTTTGATAGGCACAAATCAATGTCCGATTCTGGACTTTGGCCACAGGTTAGTTCACAGTTTTCCTTCTGGAGTGTTCTTTAAGGTAATGACACAAATAGCTCAGTTGCAGCAGGGCAGTCATCAGGAATTCAGTGTCTGAAGCAGTGTGCCAGTTCATGGGGCATAAGGTCAGAGCATGTGACTCAGGTCCAGAGAGACAGGAAAAGTGACTGTACTCAGGGAACATCACCAGGACTTAGGGCTAAGAATCCAGAGTGCAGCCAGGGCTCACACTCTAGGGGAGGTGGGGCTAGGGGACTTAATTAACTTGAGAAGCTAGGCATGACAGGATATAGATCTCAGTAGTGACAGTGACAGTGACCTTGAAAGTGGGTTTTTGTTGTTGTTGTTGTTTTGTTTTGTTTTTTAAACCTGGCAGAGAAACTGTCCTTCATGACAAAGAGCACCACTTGAAAATGACAACTACTGATGTATTGAGTCTAGCTCTGGGCAGACATGTCCTCATCTGCCCAGTTCTGTGAGCTCCATTGTCTGACCAGAAAATGAGAGAATGACGTTGCACATGAACTTCTGTTCCAGCATCTTTGTGACACACATTTGTCTTTTGTTTTCACTATTTACCTCTTCTCTACTTTCCTGAGAGTGTGTGTTCATACCTGGAGCAAGGGAAACACATCAGTGGAAGATCAATTCCAGACTTAGGAGTCGGAAAGCAGTTCTGAATTACAAATCATTTGTTCAGTTATCACACAATTTCTATGCACCTTTTACATCCCAAACAGTGCTCTAGGAACTGAGAATATGTGGAATAAATGATATATAGTGCCATGCCCTAAACAATTACTTATCCTTAACAGGAAAATAAATCCAGATGAAGGCCCTGTTTAGCCTCTTACTTTCAGTGCTGGGGAGGACAAGGCATATCTCTACACATGCAGATTTTCAGGGTAGCACAGACATGTCTTCATGACTGACACATGGTTCTTGGAGGATGGGACATTTTGTTCACACAGCAGAGATTGTGAGACTTGCTGGATCGTTGTCCTCAGCAAACTTCAAGTAGCTAACCTTGCCACCCACAGCATTCATGGGTAAGAGGCATCAGAAGCTCTTATATTACACACAAAAAAATCAACTTCTTTTAGAATCGATGGCTATGACTTGAAGTGAACATTTGAAAATGATGAGAATATTAATCCAGGTGCATTAGTGAGATTCTGTCTACCCCTTTCCCACAAGTCCATAACTTACTGGGCTTCCCATATGCCTTTAGCTTGACTCTCTTGTAAGATTTAGATTACCACATTTTCAATTGCAACTGACCAATCCTTTTAAGCCTCAGTGAATATTATAATCACAGGATGCTTTAGGAGTTGTACAAGAGTGATTCTGTAAGGCCTAGACAAAGATTTGGGAGTGTCTTTCTTTGTGAACCTTCTCCAGCATGGTGGTTTAAGTGAGAATCACCCGCATAGACTCATACATTTGAATGCTTGTTCTCCAGTTGGTAGACTCTATAGGAAGGATTAAGAGATATGGCTATGTTGGAGGAGGTTTCAAAAGCCCACCCCTGGCCTAGTCTTGTTCTCTCTCTGTCGGCAACTTGCGATTCAGATGTGCTTCAATACTTATAAGTTTTACAATGACATGAAAGCATTCATTCTCAGCAGAGCTTTCAATTTCTAACTTGGCTATTTCCAGGGGTTACTCATGAGTCACAAGACATTCTTTCAGGATGGCCAGCAGCAGAGAGAGCCATGGCTTCTATCGTCACAGGGGCAGATAACCAGTACTCTATGTTCATTGTATTCATTAAATCATGTGGGGTAGTCAACCTCCATGAAAAATTGGGTTTTCTGTTAGATGACTTTGCTCATCTAGATTCTGAGTATGTTTAAGCTACAATGTAGAGTAGGTTAATTGCATAACATTTTAAATTTATGATATTTTCAACTTCTAGTGTGTTTCCTGGGATGGAACACAAGGATAAGTCATTGACTACCTGCCTAATATTTAGAAGCACTTAATGCAATGAATATTATCCTTTTAGTACTCAATAACATGTAGTTAGCAGAGGATATTTTTGGCAGCCTATTATTGTTCTTATATTTGTTGTTTAAATTACTGATGCCTTGGCCTTGGGTGGCAACTTATTACATTGCTTGCATGGTAGAAAAATTCCCCTTCTCCTTCTTAATGGATATATATATATATGCATATATGTATATGCATGTATATGTGTGTGTGTGTGTGTGTGTGTGTGTTTGTATATAAAACTTCAAGTTGTTTCAGGGTCCTCTTGACCAATTGCCTACCAAATCCATTTTGTGTCTTTGGAGATACAGCTGGGAGGGGGAGTAGAAACAATGTATTGAGAAACATGTGTTTGGAAGACAGCAGCATCTCCTTCTGCCTAAGCCTCTTCTGCCTCCTCTGCCTGACACTTAGGATGTGGGGGCTTGAATAAGAATGCCGCCATAGACTCATGTGTTTAACTTCTTTGTCACAACAGAGTGAAACTGTTTTAAGAAGGATTAGCTGGTGGTGCCTTGCTGGAGTAGGTATGACCATGTTGGTGGAGGTGTGTCGCTGTGAGTTGACTTTGAGATTTTAAAATCCCGTGTCTCTGTGGGTCAGGAGGTAAAATTCTCAGCTACTTCTCTAGTGCCATGATGATCATGGACTAGGCCTCTGGAACTGTAAGCAAGCCCCCAATTAAATGTTTTCTTTTATTAGAATTGCCATGGTCATGATGTCTCTTCACAGCAATATAATAGTAACTAAGACACAGTCTTTGCTGAAATTTTCATATCCAAATGAGTGAACCCCTTCCTCTGAAGTTAACTTCTCTTTGCTTCAGACTCATTCCCAATATGGATGAGAACTTTCTGTAAGCTCCATCAAAGCCAGACTGAGTTGTACATTACCCTCCATGGTACTTCTGTTATGAAGTAACATGACTCCATCACTTTATGAACATGAAGGGTGTGTGTGAGGGGTTATGTTTTGTTCATTATATATTAGGCTTAATACCATGCCTAGAATAAAATAGTGAAAACTAGCAAAACTAAATGATTTCATTTCCACAGAAGCAAAAATGTTAGACCTAGTGTTTGGAAGAACTGCAAAATTATTTAATCTGAAACTAACTGAGAAAGCAGATGTTTGAAAAAGGCAAAACTGGCCATTATAGTAGCTATGTACAAATACACCATTGATAATATCACTGTGGATTCAATTGAAAATTGTCTTTATTTCATTATTGTAAAGACCTGAGCTGTGTTTTGCCTGCCAGCTAATGTTTATTTGTGTATATGTGTCTCTGTGTAAACGTGTGTATATAAACCAGCAAGTGTTATGCGGGATCTTCTTCAGTCACTCTCCATGTTATGTTTTGGACAGGATCCCTCATTGAACTTGGAGTGCTTCCATGATCATCCTGCCTCCCCAGTGCTGAGATTATAGGTACATACTGTCATATGTAGCTCTTTACATGGGTTCTGGACATGCAAACTCAGGTCTTCATGCTTCTGGGGAAACCCACCTTGATGGCTGAGTCATCTGTCCAACCCTGACAG